GAGTTGGCAGAAAAGGATTCTTTGGTTGATAAATTGTATCACTTTGAAGCATTACAATCACGCTCATCAGTTGTTCCAAAGACTAATATAACAACCCCAACTGTGCCATCTGGGTTGTTTCCTGAGTCTGCAATTGCTGAAGAGTTGGTGAGGCCTGAGGGGCCAGCTGTTGAGTACCATTGTAACTCTTGTTCAGCTGATTGCTCACGCAAGCGCTACCATTGCCAGAAGCAGGTTTGTTCTTTTATAGGAGTTATTGATTTTATATTGAACTTTGTAGCACTGCTTGCTAATGGAAGGACCCACTTTTCTGACCTTCATTTCAATCTGACTGTGGCTTTCTTTAATTCTAAAGTGTAGAATATTCCTATTGGTGCTAAAGTAATTTTACCAAACTTTTCCATTGTTTCATATTTCTGCTATGTCTGAAGGGTGTGATCAAACTATCCAAATCAAATCTGTCAGATACATGATTGTTTTCATCTCTGGGATGTTGGCAGCTATCATCTGCTGATATTAAATTGTTAAGTCTGCCTGGTGAATACACTTTGCTACTGTCTTAAAGGCATCCCACCTTGAGAACTTTATCTAGAATGATTTTCATGTCAGGCTGATGAAAATTTCTGTTTGATGAAGTGGATGTTATGTTTTCATATTAATTATCTGCTTCATGTTTCAGTTCCCTATTAACATTTATTCTGTTTACTGATTGCATTCACTTTAACAGGCAGATTTTGATCTATGTACTGATTGTTTTAGTAATGGGAAATTCGACTCTGGTATGTCTTCATCAGATTTCATTCTTATGGAGCCTGCTGAAGCTCCTGGGGTAAGTGGTGGGAAGTGGACGGATCAGGAGACTCTTCTTCTCCTTGAAGCACTAGAACTTTATAAAGAAAACTGGAATGAGATTGCTGAACATGTTGCAACAAAAACAAAAGCTCAATGTATATTGCACTTTGTTCAAATGCCAATTGAGGACACCTTTCTTGATTATGAGGATGATATTGATGCTAGTGCAAAAGAAACTGCAGATCCTACTTCAACTGACAATGAATCATTGGCCCCCAAGGATGCCCCCGAAACAACAGAGAATAAGACTGGTGCTAGTGAGAGTGACCCCCAAACTTCCCCAGTGGATACTTCAAAAGAGGTGACTGAAGTAAATGTTGGACAAGATACTTCAAAGCCAGAGGATGTAAATGAAGTCAAAGTGGGTGAGGAAACTTCAAAATTGGAAGATACTGGGGAATTGAAAGTTGATCAGGAGACAGATGAGAGCTTTGCACTGAATGCTCTTAAAGAAGCGTTTGAAGTTGTTGGTTATCCTCCAACATCTGAAGGTCAACTTTCATTCGCAGAAGTGGGAAACCCTGCCATGGCATTGGTAAGTTGAATGCTTATGTGTGGATGTTTGGTGCATCTGTTGGTGGTTTAGTGACACGTGACTGTAAAGTAAATCTGTTGGACCTATTGTTCCACAGAAATGCATAGATTAATAACTAACTTAAAGATTAAGTTATGAACTCACATATGAGCGTTTAAGTGCTTCTGAAATAAACTGAAATGATGCAGCATTGGGTTACCCAGGATAGCTTACACTTCACATGGTTAGGCGAATGTCAGTTTAGCTTAACAGTAAATAACTGGTAGTGATATTTAATTAAGGTACCCTTTTTTTTTTTACAAATTTCAACAACTTACAGTAATTTTATAGCTTTAGTCTGCCTACGTTTCAAGTTATCAACTTCAGGCGCATTCAGAAATTTCCTGCTTATTGCCAAAATCTGAGATAACTATATGTCCGAATTTGATACCTTTCACTGTTTTCCTGTAGAAGCATTTGAATTGATCTCCCGATTCTATTGCATTATACATAATTCATGCATGCCTGTTTAATTGTATGCATGATGTATGTATGTCTATAAGTGCATGCATGCATCAATAGATTTCTGATGCATATATGCAATGTATTTCATGGGACCTGCTCTTAACCCTGGGGCTTAAGCATCACCTTGCAATAAGCAAAACATATTAATGATACTTTGGCCTTCAATCACTATTAATGTGTCACTACTTATAGGTTGCACTCTTTTACAGGCAGCATTCCTTGCACGTTTGGTGGGACCTGATGTTGCTATTGCTTCAGCGCATAATTCTTTGAAATCCATATCTGCCAGTTCTCCTGGCACTGAGTTGGCTGCAAGGCATTGCTTTCTATTGGAAGATCCACCAAGTGACAATAAGGAACAAGCTGGTCCTGATAGGTATGTGATTTTGTTGTGGAGCATTTATCCTCTATTGGTTTGTGTATATTCTATCTGATGTCATTGATGGATTGCAGTGTTGCTGCTGAAGTGCTGAAAGACAAAGTCCAGGAAGACATAGTTGATGAAGACAAAAGCCAGAAAGAGGATAACGCCACCTCAGGTTTGGAAGATAAAGATTTATCAAATGATAAAGGTGACAAGAAACTTGAAAAACCTTCTCCCGAAGAAAAGTCACAATCTGCAGAAGAACAGGATGGCATAGTTTCTCATGAAGAAGTAGGAGCTGATAATTTGAACAAATCAGACAATTTAGAGTTACCGAAGGACCAATCACCAACTTCTGTGGGGAAGTTGGATGATTCAAAACTCGAGGCAGAGAATCCACCAAGTTCTGAGAAGGAGTCAGGAGAGGGAATTTCAGTAGGAAAGCCTTCTGAACCTACAGACACACCTAAGGATGTGGATATGTGTGATTCACTTCCCTCAACAAAGGATGAGCCTCAGCAGCCAGTTACATCAAATTCAGTTGAGGAACCTCCCCGTTCTACAGAAGCATCAAAAGATCTGGATGTGTCCAATTCTCCAGTTTCACAAATAAATGAGCCTCAGCAACCGGTTACTGCCAAATCAGTAGAACCTCCTCAACCTACAGAGGAATCAAAGGATGTAGACATGGTGTCTGATCCTCAGCCCCCAGAACAGGATGATTCTCAGCAACCAGTTGCATCAAATTCAATGGTTGAAACTGGAGCAAGTAAACCTTCCTCTCTCCCTCTCTTCGCACACCCACACACACGCAGACACAGGGGTATTTACATCATATTGGAGTTCTTCTGGCTGAATACAAATAAAAATATGGGAAATGGGTCTTGTGCATGCTAGTTAGCTTGGATCAAAAAATCAAGTTGAAAGAGGAAATTATTTATTCAACTAGTTGAGTTTCACAAAATTCAAGTTGAATGCCTTAGATTTACTGATGTCTCATTTGTTTGTACTTCGCAGGTGAGGATCAAACTAACGATGGTAAAAGTGAAAAACATGACACTACAGAGACAAAAGTGGATCAGAAAATTGATAAACTAAAGCACGCTGCAGTTTCTGCAATCTCAGCAGCTGCAGTGAAGGCAAAACTTCTAGCAGAACAGGAAGAAGATCAAATCCGACAACTTGCAGCAATGTTGATAGAGAAGCAGGTCATCCCAATTCCAAATTGCCTCTTTATTGTTTGTTATTAGTAATATAGTTTTTTATTTTCGGAGGATTGTGTTTAACTGCAGTTGCATAAGTTGGAAGCGAAATTAGGTTTCTTTAGCGAGATGGAAAATGTTGTAATGAGGGTGAGGGAGCAATTGGACAGGTCAAGACAGAAGCTCTACCATGAGCGGGCACAGATAATTGCAGCCCGCCTTGGCTTACCAGGTTCCTCATCTAGACCAATGCCATCGTCAATGCCTGCCAATAGAATGGCCATGAATGTTGCAAACTCAGTTCCAAGACCCCCACTAAACATGACTTCCCTAAGGCCACCTATGTCAAGACCCATGGGGCCAACGGCTCCAACCTCAAACCAATTTTCACCCACAGCCTTGGCAGGAAGTTCAATAAGGCCTCCCAGCCAGGACAAACTTTCTTCAGTCGGGTCGAAGTAAAACACCTGAGAACATGTGAATATAATTAATCCATTCCTGTGCAGCGGGGTGATCACGTATCTTTTGTATCAAATGAGTTCAAGAACAGCAGATTCGGGTATGCTCTTTAAGAAGTTAGATATTGTGCTACAACTGAAATAGCCTCTGCCCATTTGGCAATTGCCATTGATAAACAAGACAAAGGGCTTTCTGGAGAGATTTTCAGCAATCCACTATGCTCTGTTTTGTAACATTATCTTTATGCTCTGTAAAAATTGTAGGGTGAAATGCTAAGCAAAGGAAAAAGGAGGGAAAGTTGGGAGGGGAAAGGATCTCTTTTTTATTCTTTGTTTTTAATTTATGTCCACTGACCGCCCCGAAATCCCATTTTTAAAATGCTATTTATGAGTCGTGTGTAATTGAGTTTCTAACGATCTGATAATGTGCTCCAATGACTTTCTCATCTATCAACTAAATATTCGATGGTTCTCAAAACCACCCATCAACCTTGCTGTAATTTGGAGACCAAAAATACGCATATGAGGTCAAATTTTTTCCTTTGTAAGCTTCCATTTAAGTCAAATTTCTGCTTGAAATTTTTGGGTGAACTTAGGAGTATGAAAAAATTTTGTTTCTGCAATTGGCTTTACCTTGTTGAGAGTGACCCAATACACGTTCACATATTAGGTTTGAAAGTTCACATGTGCAAGAGCGTATTGAGGGTGTCCCACATTGAAAAGTTAAAAAACCTAATTTGGATTTATAAAGAGTTAGGCTATTTTCCCAATTGCCAATTGATTTTGGAATGAAGCCTCAACTTCCTTAAATAAATAAAAAATTAATCAATAAGGAAGGAGAGTTTAACGTTAAAACGAGAAATACCACTATACCAAGAGTCAATTGGTGTCATATATACCATGTTTGCCAACCTCTCTACAGGAAAAGCGGACATAGCACCACGAAAAGCCATGCACAAAAGAATCAACAAAAACATGATCAGACACAGCTATTGCTGGCTTGATGCCATGGAAGACTCATCGACTAGAGAAGTTTCTAAGGATTGAACTAGAAATGGGTGATCAATCCATAAACAAACTCAATATGATTAAATGAAAACTGCATAATTTTGGTGAAAATATAAGTTCCAAGATCTTTTCCATACTAACAATAAGTGGATATCAATGGGATGAAATCCAATGTAATCTGGTCAGAACAAACAGAACTCAGAACGAAAGGCAACATCCAACCTATCTGAAAAAAAGCATTGACGAGGAGACCAATTTGTTTCCCACACAAACACTAATGTACAGTGTCACTGCATACGTACCAACAAATATACTTCCAAAGATGACTTATTTTTTACTGGAAAAGAATTCCGGTAGAATATTTAACACTCGCATCCAGTTGATCTTGGCTGATTGCTGCTTCCAACGTCAATGGTATCCGGCAAGTATCTTCATGAAGCAGAAAACAAAATAAAAAAGATATCAACAGGTGACCACTGGAAAAGACAACTGTCAACTGTAGCATTTGTGTAATACTCAGGATCAGAACTGCTAGAGTTTTGCTAGAGCTCTATAAGGGGAAAGAAAAAAGAAAAAAAAAACTGCTACTATATACTATAGTGAGATTTATATGCTAACTATATAATTCCTAGAATAAAGGGCATACACAACTCTAAAATGGAACTAAAGGACATTTTGCAACACCAATTTTGATCATGTGAACGGTTTTAACTTCTAGGTATTAGTGGCACTGCTGTTCGTGGGAATGATAAATGAAAGGGTTGGTTTAAGGAAAACCACTAAATCATTAAATAATGAACAGGTGATCTGTAAAAACTAACTGGGGTATTGTGGATGCTTAGTCCCGAAAGGAAATAATTGGCTAGTACTTGATGATTCATTTTGTTAATGCCAGTAAATGAAATGAATTGTCAAAACTCAAGAGGACGTGCGCATTAGCATATTGGTCTCTAGTTCAACTTACATCTCCTCTTCCTCCCCACTCTTCAGAGCATCCTTTGCTATGCACTGGAAAGCTTCTTCCACATTAATGCCTTCCTTGGCAGAGGTTTCATAGTATGGAATATTTCCTTTTGATGCACACCAAGCTCTAGCCTTTTTCTCTGAAACCTGGAGAATTAACAAAAAGTAGTATGTCAATATGAAACACATAGGATAACAAACTCATGTGTGCATGTGCATATGCATATGTATGTAAGAGAAAGAGATAATGACAATTTTCTTCCGAAAAGAGATGCATACCACTCTACTATTTCCACCATCTACATCAACCTTGTTTCCTATGACAACAAATGGAAAATTTTCTGGATCTGAAGGACTTGCCTGCAGAAGTTGTCATCATACCGTAAGTTCAATTTTCTTTTGTAATTGATAAAAAAATGGAAGTTGATGCAGAAAGAGAAATGACAACTGGAAGAGTTTTCAAGTGACCCAATACTCAAGAAAATAGCCACATGCCAAAAACAAAAAAAACAAACAAGAAACCCCAAAAACATACCTGAATAAGAAATTCTTCCCTCCAGTTGTTAAGGTTATCAAATGATTTCATTGAATTAACATCATAAACAAGAACACAGCAATCAGCACCACGGTAAAAAGCTACACCAAGGCTTTGGAATCGTTCCTGGCCAGCTGTATCCCAGATCTGACAAAACAATAGAATGTGTGTTGACTGTTTGGAAACACACTTAGGCATCAACTTATCCAAGAATTTAAAAATATAAAAAGACTACTGCAGAACCTAATGGTAGAAGTGGTGAGCTAAAACATATAATTCCATAGAATACATGACAGATTGTTTCACAGTGTGTAATTGCGATAACAATAAATTAGCAATCAATTATCAAACTCTAATAATCTGATATCCATAAATTAACAGCTTGAAAATGAAATTCTTTTCATGCTGTTCATATCAGTATACTAACGAGATAGAGAGAGTGAGGCCCCACATTACAAGCTTCTTTGGTTGATAGATACAAGTCAAAACCTGATTTTGTTTTTTCATATCAAATGAAATATTTTGAAGCCAAAACTGAAGCCAGGTTATGCCAACATACCCAACACATAATAATGAAAAGGCATAATTGGATAACGTATACCAGTCAACAACTATCGGTAAGGATAACAACAGTCAGAGGGTAGAGAATGAAGGCAATGCAGAGTCATCAATAATGTCATCGTGAGTCTTTAGGGACAGAAACAAAGCAATTTATATGAATCCTTCTCCATAGTGACAGTAGAGAACGTTGTGACAAAAAGCAGGGGAGGAAATGCAAGCCTACACATGTAAAATTAGCAATTTATATTTTATGTGTACTTCCTATAAGACATCATCTGAAAATATTTCAGAGTGAACATTCGTCCAATTTCTGCCACTGCTTGCGCATAGTGACCAAATAGAGGTCTACACATGTATGATTCTCAGAAACATGAAATAAGGGTCCTTGAGCAATTCTAACACACATGGAAACTTTCATCAGTATAGGGACCACCAGAACATACACCATGACTTAGCAGGGACCATCCCGAAATCATTGTGAAATAAATTATTCCCACCATAGGACCATTTAACTAAAAGAAATTGTTAATGAGAAGTCCCAGATGAACTTCCAATCATTAAGAACATCGCAAATTCTGATTTAGTGCAAGAATACCAAAAAGAAAATTGATAGGTTGGAAGAACTTGGTGATTTGTGTGTTTCTTCTTTTTCCCCTGTTTAACCAACTGGTGCAGGCTGTACCGGCATAGGTTCCATAAATGTAAGGCCAACGATTGGATAAAGACAATGCAAACCCAATCAACATAGACAAATCCCAAGACATGCAGCCAAATATTAACAACAAAACATGCTCAGTTCTAATGCGCACATATTTTCCTCTTATGAAAACTAAAAAGCTGGGACCTTTGAAGCAATTAGATAACAACTAGAACTAAAGAAACCTGCAAGGTGAAGAGCCTGTCTTCAAACTGAACTTCCTTTGTCAAAAAATCAGCTCCAATCGTCGCTTTGTATTGATTGCTGAACTTCTTATTTACATATCTATAAGAATCATGTTAAAGGTAAACCCACCATCTAAACAAACAAACAGCTGAAACTTAACAGCAAAAGCATTATATTCAAAATCAAATAACCAAACACACAAATCAACATTCTAGCTGCACAGGATACTGATTCATCAAAGAAGTCTTCCCCACCCTGCATATCACAAATTAAACAAACTTTTTTAGTCTTCTACCAAAAACAGCAAAAAAACACAATCTTCTTCCTAAATAAGTATAACAATTTTAAATTTTACTACTCTTAAATTTCGTGAGAACCCAATTCGTAAACTGGTACCAAGAGACGAAAAATAGGGTTTCAGATCATTATTTGTAAAGTAAGATCTAGAAAGATCTACCCAATCTCAAGCGCAAAACCCTAGAACACAACTATTACGAGCAAAACAGAGAGAAAGATGGAGAGACACAGACCCGCTGTCGCCGAGGATGATGACCTTCAGGAGGGTTCTTCTTCGAGACGGCATCGTTTTGAGACAGAATTGGGAACGGTCTGAGGAGTTGGAGAGGGAGCTGTCAGAGACAGTAGAGCGAGAGAAGCTGGTCGGAGGATCGTTCTTCAAGTCTCGTTAGACTTCCCTGGTCATCCAAAGCTGGAGCTGACCTGTACTGGTTTATAAATTTTTTTAAAATACAAATATAAAAATAAAATAAAAAATTATTTACTTTTTTAGATTTGTTTCTATTTGGAGCAAAAATTATTAGGCGATAAGTTTGAAGTGGAAAAAAGTATGAGTTGCGATAGGTTTAGGGTTTAGGATAGTAAAAGTATTGACTCTTTATATTTCAATCCAATTTGGTGTTATAGTCTTGATCGATTTACTTTGTGTTATGGGTGGATAGGTTGTATTTTGACAACAAAAAAAGCCTTTAATATCGGTCATGTGCCACCATATGATCAATTTTAACAAAAATATTGACTGAATGCGATAAGAGAGATAAAACTTATGTATAGGCAAAAATATTGAATATTATATTGATTGATTTGAAAGTTTAAAGACTCATATTATGAATTTTTTAACAATTAAGAGACCATTCTTGATAAAAATCCAAAAATTAAATATGAACATGCGTAAATGTACATAAAAACAGTTGGTTGTTACAATGTATAAGGCCGTAAAATCATTCGTGTTGAGTAAACATAAGTTGTAAAATAAATATCTTGTGTTGTCAAAAGGGAAATTACCTCAGTAATATCAATTTATTAATATGTCAAATAATGGAGATAAACAAGTATAAGCACTATATCACTTGGGTTTAGAAGCATGAAAATTCTACATATACTAAAACCCAAAAGCACAGTGAATTTACAAAAATATCTTTATTTTTAACTGTTCAGCCAGCTTTTTCTCTCCCCTTGCATAGTAAAATCACGGTTTTGCCCTTGGCTGATTATTTTGTATTTTCCCCGTTTTGCCCCCTATTTCTTTCGGATCTAACTATGAGGCTGTTTCTTCTTGAGAGGCGTCTGGTTCGATTTCAATTGGCTGGTTCGACAGCTTCAGGGGCAAAGATGGGAGATCAGTTCTTACACAAAAGGAAAACTCTTCCCTCTCACCATTTTTTTCTCCTTCAAACTCTCCTCTCTCTCCATGATTGGATTTGTTATAGGCCTGTAATTCGGCCGGATCGGATCGGAAATAGCCATTCCAATTTCCATCCAACTTTCTTTCTCAAATCCCATACCCAAAAATGAACACCCCGTTGCTTCTTCCTTTCTCTTTTTGCCTTCTTCTGTGAGACCCACTCCAATGCCAACGTCATAGCCTCCACCACAATCAAACTTACCACAGCCTTCATCCACCATCCCTCCACCTAATAACTCAGCATTTTCACACAACATGAATTCAACATCTCCAAAGACAGAGCACAAGTATCACTGTCAAACAAAACACAATTAAACTCAATCACTCAACCAACCAATCGAACCCAAACAAGAATAAGGAGAGAGGAGGAAGAAGAAGAAGAGATAGAGGAGCCATGAAAGAGAGAGAGGGAAAAAGGAAAAAAAAGGGTGTGGCGGCTGCAAATGGAAAAAATAAAATAAAATAAAAAGATGTGTTACTTAGGCCATCTCCAACCCTTGGATTCAAACCCAAAATATCCTCCCAAACCTCTCCCAACCCAAGAAAATGAAGGACCCAAAATGGGAGAAAACTCAAATTTTGACCCAAATATGGGTCCAAGTATTGCCTGGACCTAATACTATTCACTAGAGCCCACGCTGAGGTGGCAAAGCCCGTGTGCTTCTGAAAAATTGTGGGACCCGCGCTGGTTACATGTTCTGATGGGCTCGTCTATGGCATGGGCCATGTGTTGGCACTAGGTGAGAGAGCTCTTGGGCTTTGGTTGTCTCCTTTTATTTTTATTTTTAAAAAAAATCATATAGTATTGATTGGGCCCACATGCTGGCTGTTTCCATTAAAAAAAATTATGGAATTTCAATTTTTTTTTAGGTCAAATTGTTCAAAAAATTAAATTATGATGTTATTTAAAAAGATTAAATGAAGAAAAGTTATCCATTAAAAAAATAGACTTAAACAATTTAAATAAAGTTGCAAACTTAAAATTTGAGTCCGGAGAGTTGGGATAAAAAACTATTTGAGTCCGGGCAAAACCCAAATAGTCACTTTTTGGAGGGGGAAATTTGGGTTTAGCCCCTCCTGAGTTGGAGAAGGCCTTAGGGTTAAGAACGTGAGTATTGAAAAAGAGATAGGGGGAAAATAAACAAATGAAATGAGGGTAAGTGGGAAATTGAGAAATTAAATAAAGAAAAGAAAGAGGAATAGACAAGTGGGAGATGGAACCTTTTTCTTCTTCTTTTTTAAACTTTTAATTTTATTTATTTAGCTCTTTACTTTTGTTTTCGAATTTCTGATAAAAAAAGGTTTTTAATTTTAATATATCATATATATAGAAGACAGAGAATGTGTGCAAGGAAGCTTAAGTCGGACTTTTGAGTTCTTTTTCTTTTTTTTCTTTTTTTTCTTTTATTATTGTGCTAATTTTGACATACATGGATTTAGAATCTCTTCATCCAAATGAAGCCTTATAATAGGGTGTACATATAACACGTATCTAAAGTGGTAGAAATATGAATGGGAGGTTTTTTTTTTCGGAAACATGAATGGGAGGTTGAGTTGCGTACATGATGGAAATTTTAAAAATAACATAATGGATTAAAAGTTTACAAAAGGAACTAATACTATTTGTTCATTCAATATCTTAATACATATAAAACATGCTATTAGTATTTATTTTGTAACTTAAACTTGCTATATATTTTCATAACCTTTTATACATTTCAGACGGTTTTAAACACGCAGCATCACGCGGGCACCTTTGCTAGTTAGATCTAAAGACTAAAGTATCAAAAGAAATATATCTAGTCATTTTTCCTTTTGGGTACCAACTTCAAGTCGCAAGTTCCAGATTTGAAGCACAATCATGAATTTATTAGTATCTTGGTTTCAACTTTAGGTGGATGTATCCAATTCTAACTTTCAAAGACTTTTTTTAAATGAGTGACTTTCCTAGAGTTGACAAATTCTTAATGGCTTTTATATACTTTATAAAATTAAGTGACAAACTTTCATATACTTTTATCATAGAGTTTTGTAGACTTTTAAATACTTATTTTTATTGTTTTTAAATTTTACAAATAGCATTTATCTTTTATGTTGAATGAACTAGCCGGCATACATGGAACAAAAATTAGGAAAAAAAAAAAATTGGATACAAATCCTTATTAATTGTGTATATTTTCATAAAAGCTTATTAGTAAAATGCATCCAACGCACCTTTTAAATTTTTATTTATCAAATCTAATCACATAGATAAGTAATATATTCCTATCAAAAGAAATAAATATTACTCAATCATCAATAATATTTCATAAACACTCACAAACCAATAGAAATGGTCAGATTACAAGAGTCTATATTCCCGTAATTCTCCTAGCCCAATATGTGCGATGTAATCAAATTGAGAATATTTTATGAAAAAATTATCCACATAATGAATTATGGGTAAAGAAACAGTACCTAAATAATAAATTAGTGGGTTTAAGGGCAAAAAATTATATAATAAAATATTGTATGCAAACATAGCATATGAGACAATCAATATAATAAAATATTTATACACAAACATAGCTTTGTGATGAAATATTGATAAGCTTCAGGATGCAAGCATGATGAAAAGAATAGAAGAAATATTCATCAACAGAGGGAAAGTACACGTGTGGGTGTGGATGAGAAGAGAAGAAAAACATTCAAAAAAATTTACTAACCTGAACTGAAGGAAGTGGATGACAAGATGGGTTACCAAAGTGGAGCCCTAACCATGAAGAAAAAAGACCTATCTACTTGCTGCTTGATATAACGAGGGAAGAAAGAATTGGAGACGTTTTGGTTATATCTTCCTAGCTTCCTAATATTTTCATAAAGTCTGGTGTAAATTAGCAAGACTTTTAGTAGTAAGTCTGGTGGAATGATGACCTCAAAAATGAACTTTCAAATCATGATATGACATTATGGATTGGACCCAAACAAATGATTTACGGTGTATTAATTACTTACTAATTTTTTAGCACTTGAACGCTCATGCTATAAATGCACCTATTTATATTAATTTATATATAGTTAAAGACATTGACCAAAAAAAAAAATATATAGTTAAAGACTTTTATAGTTAAATTTCTAAAAATTTGGACAAATACCCTCTGCTAATTAAAATGGCAGCAAAAAAGACTAACAAAAAATAGTAAAATAGTAAAACAAACATGTGTTTAAATTAAAAATAAAAAACACCCATACCATATATCATCAGTTTCTTCATCCAAATTAAGGAAAATAAAATAAGTGTTCGGCACACGATAGCTCCTCCGGAGAAGCTAGTAACAGTAAACCCCTCCATTTACTTGTATGTAGCAAAAACGAACCATCATTGCACCCTAGCAAGAGGAAAAGCTCATGGCCAAGTTACATTCTTGGTCTATGTAGTTTGATATATTTTTCGCTTTAGACTCCATCATTTTAATTTTGACGATTTTACTCATGTAGTTTTGTTCACGTAACAATTGAGTCCTAGGCTCAGGTAACAATTGAGTCATCAAAATTTTACCAAAAATTTTTAATAACCAATTAATTATGTGACATATGATAGTGTTTTCCTTATTAGATTCTTCTTTTTGCTGAGAATTTTACTTTTTAAAAATTAGACGAGGGAAAGTGAGCAATACATCTAAGAAAGATTTGGGGACATAAGAAAATATTGTGACTCATAGGTGAAACTCTTTTTTTTTCTTTTTTTTTTTGGTATATAAAAGGTGAGAAACTTTATATGTTATCATCTTTACGAGGGATTGGTCCTCTTGTTACTAGAAACTATTTTATTAAAGCTTGTATTTTATTTTTTATTTTTTCAAGCTCCTCACTGGCCGGGAAAAGAAAATATATATATTACTTTTCGTATTAATAGAAAATACAAAAGAAAAGAAAAGAAAATTATGTCAACTTTCTGTATACTATGAAAAAAATGAGAAAAATCATATCAATTTTCTGTGCACGTGGGTGATCGGTTGGAGTGCAAAGGGTTCATAGCTAGATTGCTTTCTATATGTGGTTGGGGAACGATGCATGTGAGAGAGGATGGGGGAGTGACAAGAGAAAGAGGAAAGAGAAGGCAGGGTGGAATCGTACAAACTCTACATTTGGACTCGTACATGCTGATCAAGTGACTTGTTATTGTTTGAGATGCGAAGTTTATAATTTTACAAAAAAGATATAATCTTGCAACTGTAACAATCTTTGTTTTTTGTAATTACTATTTTTGGACAAGGATTAAGTGTGTTAATTGCGTCTGTTAATTTATACACATACGTGTTTAAAATAGACAAGAGGTAGAGAGGAGAGGACAGGGTCAACGAGGACTACAATTTGAACTCCTTCGGTCTGTTTTGTACCAAAGAATTAAAAGTGCAACCCAAAAATGGCAAAAAACAAGAAAGGTTTGCTTGAAAATAGAAATTGGGTGGAGAAAATCCTCCTGCTTTGTCGGAGGGTGATCTGTTCCATGGCTTCCTCCTTTCCTTAGATGGAATTATTACCATGCAACCTTGTTTTCTGTCCCTCCTTTGAGAATCCTCCCCTGTTGCATGCCCTTCTGCTTTAGGTACAAACTCCTCTCTCTATCTCTATCTCTATCTCTCTCTAGCACACAACCACATGTACCTAGTTTGCTAGGTACGTCGGTACACCCAACAATGCATGCATGATTTACACATTCTTAATTAATTTGTTCTTTGCATGCATGCATGCAGTTATATGTTTGATCTAAGCTCTCATTTTGATTTTGTTGGGTTTGGTTTTGAAATTACTGGTGCATAAGTTTTGTTTACTTGTTTATTAATTGTTTAACTAATTTTGTGGTTAGGGGTCATCAACAGGCTCACCTTTCAAAGGAGCGGTGGGGTTTCTCCGGCACAGACCCACGATTATTCTGGTCGGAAACTCCTAAAAATGGGGTCCTCTGACGATCAGAATTCGCCATCGGATACCCCACCATCTGACTCTTCATCATCATCACCAACTCCTCCATCTTCGTCGTCCTCATCCTCATCCTCATCACCCTCTCCACCATCATCGAATTCAGGTTCGGGTTCAAGCTCAGGTTCGAGTGGGGGTTCAGGTTCAGGTTCGAGTGGAGGTTCAAGTTCAAGTGGAGGCTCACCGCCCTCATCATCATCCCCACCTCCAAAGGACTCATCACCTCCTAAAAGCGACTCATCCTCCTCAAACAACTCAAACGGCGGCTCGTCATCTTCAGGAAACTCAAACAGCTCATCCCCGCCTTCCGACAAGTCTTCCGGCGGTAACTCTTCCAATAACTCTAACAACTCCGGTGGCTCCTCCTCCTCCTCCAACAATTCGAATAACTCAAACAACAACTCGAACAATTCGAATAACTCATCGCCTCCTAGCAACAACAACTCGAACAACTCACCGCCTTCCAACGACAACAACTCCGACAATTCGAACAACAACAACTCCAACAATTCAAACAACAACTCAAATGACTCAAACAACCAAAACCAAAAGTCCCCTCCACAGTCCAATTCTCAAAAGAGTCCTCCATCGTCCTCCTCTAACAATAACAATAATGGAGGGAATCAGAACAATAATAACAATAATGGAGGGAATCAGAACAACAACAACAACGGCAACGGCAACAACCACCAAAACAACCAAAACAACCAAAACAACCAAAACAATCAAAACAACAACAACAACCATAATAATAACAACAATAACTCTCAGTCGCCACCTAAATCATCCAATGGGAACAATTGGTCACCAAAATCGTCCAATAATTGGTCACCCCCAGCCATATCAGGCAAGTCCCATCCATCACCTGATAATGATGGGTCACCGCCGCCTTCGCACTCGAGTTCGAGCTCCACGCCCATCATCATAGGAGTTGTAGCTGCGGCAGGGGTTTTGTTGCTTGTCATGGTGTTCTTCTTCATGGCGTGCTCTAAGAGGAGGAAGAAGAGACAAACTTCTTCTCACCTTATGGAGAACCCTGAGCCATATCTTCCAAATGGTAATGTCTAAACTCCAACTCTTCAAACTCTTAATTTCTTCTTCTAAATCTAATGATATAGTTTTTATATTCTTTTTTTCTTTTTTTTAAATTTGCATGGACATTCTTATTGATCATCTTGGCTTAGTTTGTGGCCCCATGGATATCTTATGTATAAAATTGTCATTTTAAAATCTTATCCTACCTGATGGCACTTGATTATTTCTTGGAGATAAATAATAGTAATGTTGATGGAAATTAATATTTTGTACTTAATTTTTTCAACCTTAATGACTAATTTATAATTTATATAATTTGGGTAATGTGCATGAGCAGGAAGTAACTATTGGCAAAGCACTGGACCTAAAAGTACCGAGCACATTATGAACATGCCTCCTTCTGGCCGCGCACCCAATGGAGGTTGGACTACATCCACAGCTCCACCGCCCCCCATGATGAGCAGCGAAATGAGTTCCTCCAACTTCTCCGGTCCACATGGTCCCCCCTTGCCGCCACCACACCCTAATGTGGCTCTCGGGTTCAACAAGAGCACTTTCACCTATGATGAGATGGCGGCTGCAACATCAGGGTTTGCGCCAGCTAAGCTAATAGGCCAAGGTGGTTTCGGGTACGTACACAAAGGGGTGTTGCCAAACGGCAAGGAAATCGCTGTGAAGAGCCTCAAAGCGGGTAGCGGACAAGGCGACCGTGAATTTGCAGCCGAGGTTGAGATCATTAGTCGTGTTCATCATCGCCACCTTGTGTCGCTTGTGGGGTACTGCCTTGAAGGAGAACGAAAGCTGTTGGTGTATGAATTTGTTCCTAACAACAATCTCGAATTCCACCTTCACGGTACGCAACTAAACTATTATTCCAACTCTTTAAATCTCGACTTCTCAATTAATGTGACAATATTTCATTTATTTATATTTAGATTCGTCTATAACTTTAAAATGAAATCCTTTATTAGTTAGTAATTAAAAGTTGGTAATTTAACATGTCTTAATTAATATCACTATTTTACAGGACCAAATCGGCCACCCTTGGAATGGGGTCACAGGGCCAAAATTGCGTTGGGATCGGCTAAAGGGCTTGCTTACTTGCACGAAGACTGTAAGTAATTTGTGAAACTGCAGCTATCTTTTCTTTTGATCTACTGCTCTCTGGTACCTTAGTCATAGTGCATTTTGATACTTGCAGGTCACCCCAAGATTATCCACCGCGACATTAAGGCTGCAAATATTCTGATTGACTTTAGCTTCGAAGCTAAGGTAGGGTTAATTTATGTTGTTACATATAGCTTTAGCCTAGAAAAAGTTTAAGACACTTTAGGATATAATTAATGTTTTTATTGGCTGGTTGCTAATTGATTTAAGTATATACTAATTACTAGTATGCATGATTTGTTCAGGTGGCAGATTTTGGGCTGGCAAAGCTGAACCAGGAAAATGTCACCCATGTATCTACCCGTGTCATGGGAACATTTGGGTAATTTCTTGACTCATATAGTACTTTAAATTACAAACTAACCACAGAAGATGAAAGGTAATGTGATGGAAACAAACTGATCAAACTTATCATGCAGGTACTTGGCTCCTGAGTACGCATCGAGTGGAAAGCTAACTGAGAAGTCCGACGTTTTCTCTTTCGGTATTATGCTCTTGGAGCTCATCTGTGGACGCCGCCCTGTGGACTTGTCTGGAGAATATGAGGAGGATACCTTAGTAGACTGGGTTCGTATTCTCCCTCCCTAATAAACATATAAATTATGTTATCTTGTTAAACAGAATAATATGTTATATTACTAGACTGTGAATTTAGGACCGACCATTAGTGTGCCAGATTGACAGTTTGTATCCTGCCATGCATTTAAACTGCTTATTTTCAACAAATTTATAATTGATTTGCATCTTGACATGGAACATATGAGTAATTCTTTGCACTATACATTATCAACAACAGGCTAGGCCTCGCTGCCTGAAAGCAATAGATACTGGGGACTATTCTGAAGTGTTGGATCCACGGCTAGAGAACAATTATAACCATGAAGAAGTGGCACGAATGGTGGCATGTGCTGCTGCGAGCGTTCGACACTCTGCGAAGAAGCGACCAAGAATGAGCCAGGTATAAAATAAAGGACCATTACTATAGACTGATCTTTGTGTTTTTGGTGCTGATCTTGTGCTATGCATAGAGTCTTACGTAACCAAATATTTTTTATTTATGAACAGATTGTTCGTGCATTGGAAGGCGATGTCTCAATGGAAGACTTGCACGAGGGGATCAAAGGGCAGTTTGGCTCTGGCTCTACCAGCATTGCTTCATCTGAGTTTGATGCTGACTCGTACAATGCGAAAATGAAGCCGTTCAGAAAGCCGGCACTGATTGACAGCACAGACTATCCAAGCAGTGAATACGGGCCCACAAGCGAGTACAGCCACAACTCCACCTCTGCAAGCAGCAATCACTCCCAAGAGATGGACAACAAGAAAGGGATGAACCGGCCACAAGGTCCAGTTTGATCCGCAAACAACGAGCTGGAACATGGACCGAACCGATCGAACAAGATAACCCAGAACTGGTTTTATGACCTTCGGAGTACTATATTATAGAAACATAAAGATTCTGCAGGTTAATTAGTGTTAAAATTAAGATTGATGATGCTAATATTTGTGTGTGTATCATGTGAAAAAGTGAGAGACAATATTGTGTGTCACTCTTCCCTGCAGACATTTTTGTATTGGCCATGTATGCACCTTACTGCTTACCAAGTATACCTCTGATTGATTTCAGGTAGGTAAAGATGGTGGTAGATGCACAATTGTGACATTCCATTAAACATGGGGCACACCAAATGATGGAGGAGTTGTGATTTTCTTTTTCTTTTTTCTTTCTTACGTTCTTTTGGAAAATGGGTGAACCTAGCTATGTGTGTTTGTATGTACTTGCTACTAATGTAAAACAAACACATGCATTTGGAGGAATTGGTAGCTCGTGTGTTTGTATTTTCTATATTTTATATCTAAGTATTATTGTTAAGAATTGGTGAGAGTTGAGAATGGACGGAAATTTTGGCTAGAGTAGTAATGTTTCTCTACCTCATGGATATCCAGGTAATTTACAATTTTTTCTTTTTTTTGATATAAGCGATAAACTACTTTAAACTAATCTAAATTACAGGAATAGAACTTTTGGGTAGAGTAGCATTGTTTCTCTTTTTCTTTCTTTTTTCTTTTTTGTCAGTAGAGTAGTATTGTTTCTCTGCCTCATGGATATCCAGGGTAATTTACAATTAAGGTGGTATCAGAAATTGCAAACCAATATTAATTGCCATGAGTGTAATCTGTAAAGAGTAATATAAACAAATTAACCATCCAAATGGTGACATGGGATTTCTAATAGTGTAAAAATTGGAAAAATTATGACCCTCTTGTTACCTAAAATCCATCTTCCCAACCTGGCTATCTCTTCTTTTTTGCCAATAACCTAGCTACTTCAAGTTGATCATGATTTAGAACATCAAAATTGAAAGTAGCTTCTTAAGAAGAATGCAATGCATGATGACCATTTTTTGAAAAAAATTCGTAAGTTAATTTGGTAGGACACAATAGCCTTCCTTTGAAGCTCTCCTTACGGGAGAGACTAATGTATATAGAACTTGCGCCTAAAAACCAGATAGTAAACGATGGGTGCGCAAGAAATCTTAAACCATCTTATTTTTCCAATATAAAAGTAAACATGAACATGAAATTTTCTGAGGGTCCAGTACCGTGCGGGAGGAAGAAATTTTCTGAGGCGACTTTGAACTAACTATGAAAGTAAACAAGAAATCATTATTACGCACGTCTATGAGAGAGAACCTTTCCAATCTTCAGATATTCAGATTCAATACCAGAGGAACCAAACAATACAATTCACTTCTTTGTAATTCAGAGTGCTTCAAAATTCATGTCTTGTACATTAACAAATGTAATGGAAAACTACACTTGAATTTAAAGAAAAGAAAAACAAAAAAACAGGGTAAAAGGTATGTCAATCCAATGAGCTTGACACGATTTTTCCGACTATTATTACTAATCAAACAGATGAGCAGGCAAATGCTCGATAAAAATGCAAATTGACCTCTTGCAAGCCCCCTCAACTTTCAAATGTAATAATGTGCAATTCTTTCTACAAAATGTTTGATCTGTATACAGCCATCTCTGCCAGTGCTCTCATTAGAGAAAAATGAAAAGACCGTCGTATCAATAAAAGATCGCCTGTATTAACCAACTAGCCGCTGCCCACAATCTCATGAATGGCATCACTGACAGCTTCATCCTCAGATCTAACGGCCAGTTTCATGGCAACCTCCCTTGAACTATCTATTCCAAAAGACAACCGCACAAGGACCTTCACATTGCCTATGTATACACCAGACAATAGACATGTGTGTGACCTTGAGTTGCTGGCGAGAACCTCTGTGCCCTGAAACCACACCGAGAAAATAAGGCATAAAATATACACATACATATAATTTAGTCAACTTATTTTCAAAAGTTAAAATACATTTGTGAAGTATCCAACGCAGATTATTAGAAGTGATGTATCCATTGAGCATCCATGGGGATACTTCGACCTCTAAAAGCACATGTAAGGCAACACCACATCGGAAAGAATCCAAAAGTGCCTAATCGACAAATGATAAAGATTTGATTTTAAAACAAAATTACCTCACAGGGCTGCAGTCCAAGGAGGTTGATGACAGTATTAACAGCTTCAGTCAAGCTCTCCCTTTGTCCCAGGCCATATTCATCTATCCGCTCAAAATCAGGGCCCATGCTTTCCCATGCATTCCTGAAATTGAAGACTGGAACCTTCAAAATGTAATCAGCAGGGACAACCTCAAGATCCTCCAGCTGGTATTCATCTTCCACACCATCTTCCTCTGCCTCGCCAGTGGTTGGATCAACCTGGTGACACACACCCAACTCATAAGAAAAGAAAATAGACAAAGCTCAAAACTTCTGACGATTTCATATTCCATATCGTACATCATTGTGTATATCCTTAGAACCCAACCTTCTAGTCTTTTTTCATTAACACAATTAAAAAATTCTCATGCACACAAAACAAACCCATAGAAGAAAGATGTACAGTCACCAAAATCCAATTTAAGGAGCAAGGTATTATGAGTAGATAACAACTAGAACAACCAGTGTTATTAACCAACAAGGTGTATGGTGAAGTTTAGCAAAAGCTTTGAGCAAGACATCCAACCATGTGATAGTTGTGGATGACAAGACTTGCAGATTATATAGAACTTTAAAAAACACATATAGCTTTTCCATAGTTTTATTAGCTAAAGCCAGTTTCACTCCCATGTCTGGTTCTTAATGATCAACTCGCTGTCAAGAAACTCAATCTAAGCACATGGATAAAGGTAGAACTTGGTACCTCTTTAACAATGAACCTCAATGTGTTTGAAAATTTTCCGACTGCGGGGACACCTTCTGGCCTCTCAAATGCCAAAAAGGTCTGTCCAGGTGTATCATAAGGAAGAGACGCGAGAGGCTTGGATGCAACTTCTGAAAATTCCTCTGCTTCTGAAGCATCCACGGCCACAATAACCTGGCGGACAGAGAGTTATAAAGAAAATCTCAAGGAGAGCTACAAAACTAAAAAGCTGTTTCAAAATAACCAGTCATTACATTTTCCAGTAATTGCTCGGGAATGGTATTGGTGCAGTTGTACTGGAATACAACATGACTATCAAAAATGTGCTTGACAACATTAACTGCATATTCGGTTTCTGGCTCTGTCAACTCCACAGGTGCTGAGGACTGATATGTGAAAAGGTACACAATAAATTCCAAAGCAAAAAAAAAAAATCTGATATCATTTGACCATTCAATTGAGTTATTGAAATTTTAGTACTTTCTTGAAGGACCGTATTCGTTGATTTTGTAGAACACAATTGGATGTCGAAACAGTTTCCGATTTGTCTAATTTTTTGTAAGGATGATCTATGAATGAAGACCTAAAAAATATATGGTTTGGATTATTGAAAAAAAAATTGTATGGTACCCTAAAGGGCGTCCCTCAAATAAAATTATTTGAGAGATCCCTCAATAGAAGGGGAAATATATATATATATATATATATATATAAGCTGTAACATGCATGTATGAGGAAATATTCACGTTGCAGAACCTTGAATAGCTTGCCAAAGTTTGAAAACTCCGGAATGGAGGAAAGCAACTTCTCATAAGCATCAACTGTGGATACAGGGGCACTTGGAGGCGCACCCAGACCAGTTGGCTTTTTACTCTGGGCTTTCTTCTCAGCAAGTGGCTGGGACTTAATCTCCTTGGGTACAGAATTAATGTCAAAAGGTTCTTCTGAAGCCTCCTGTAATTGGCATTAACACATTCCTGAAAACATGAGATAAGGACCTTAAAGGAAAATATGGAAAAAGCAAATGGAGGTAACTCACATAATTCTTCAAACTTGTCTCCAGATTGACAAGTGGCACATCCAGAGACCCAAAGAGGAAGTCCTTTACATCACTGTCAGTCTCAACTACTGAACCATCTCCTCCAAGCGTATTTAGATAGAGCGTTGCCCTATCACGAACCTGGGAAATTGCAGAAAAGAGAAAACTATTCAGTATATTCTGAAGGACAGAGAATACTAAAACAATTAAGTTAATCCCAAAGCTAAAACAAACAAAACATGAAAGCAATGGCACAGGAACACAAACAAAGATACAGACAAATGCTCAGAGCCACACACCTATTCTTAGATCAATGCTCATGCATATATGTCATATATTTATATATAACCTAAACGTATAGCCTCAAAAATAGATATAGCATACCTCATCATCACTGTCAAAGAGACATCGTCTTAACAGAATAAATACTCGTGGCTGAAACATAGATGAAGAAAAAAATTGTTTACTTTTATCAGTAACCATAGCCAGCAACAAAACTCATTGCAGTAAAGAGGGGGAAGATAAGAGAAGACATTGTTCATTTAAAAAGATATCACCTTCAATGAATCAACCAAAGCACCAAATTTTGCCAATGTGCTCACAGCACTGGCTCGAACAGTGGCATTCTCAAGATGTACTCGGTTATAAATATACCGTATGTATTTGCTTGGATCAGAGGTTTTTGGCCCTTCAATACCCAAAAAGTGGAGTATCTAACAATACAATAACTCAATCAGCCAAAAAACATTAAAAGTATTAAATTCTTAACAAGTTTATGATAGAGAAAAATTCCACCTGTGTAGAAAGATAGGTGAATTCACAATCTTCAATGAACTCACAAAGATGAAGCAAGCCACTTTCTTTTGCATCAGGGATATCTCTTATGAGAATCACAATTGAATCAACAATTGCCTTTTTGTACTCAAATCCACCTTCTTCTCTGAGAATGTTGCTGAGAAAGTTCATCCTGTGGAAAACAAGAGACAAGGAACGTTACTTGAAAAAATATACAAAAATAAGAATACGTGCAGTGAAACTAATAACCATATTAAACCAAACATTTTGAAAAAAAAAAATGTATCTCATATCCCACTCACAGAGCTCTGTACTTCAGTGGAAACTTCAAACACAATGATCTTATAGCTTCCACAACTACAATTTTGAACTCATCAGCAATATCTGACATGAAATTAGTTATCTGCTTCATCAAGCGATCCACACTTGATTCATTTCCTGTCTTCAGAAGTGTGGTGATTGCCAGTGTGGCAATGCTTCTGTTCTGGTCAGAAATCAAACTCTCCATATCAATGTTGCAGTTTGTGACAGCCATTGGATGTGTCATTGCCACCTGAAAAAAGTTCAAACTTGTTAGTATAATGTATCAGGAATAATATTTACCAAGAATCAATAAAACAACTAAAATCAAAGTAACAAGGACCAACATACTTTTTTCCAAACAAAAAAGCCAGATAATCAAGACCTACATAGTATGGATAAATGTATAATACATTGATCATACAATCAAATTCATTTCATATAGGATTTCACATCTACCTAAAAACTACAAGAGCAAAATTCATGACAGAAGGTCAGTCTGATTTCATTTAC